CCCCCTTGTTTTCGCATCCCTAAAAATCACATGGATAACATTTTTTGCAACAACAAAAAAAATGTTTATAATAGACGTTTATAAATAAAATGCTGATTGGCTTTTGCAGACATCCCGGCCGCCGTCTCGCTGCCGCACTTCTACAAGGCGGACGAGTCCCTCCTCACCAAGATCGACGGGCTACGGCCCAACCGGACGCTGCACGGGACCACGCTCGCCATCCAGCCGGTAAGCGATCGAATCGATATCCGAATGACGTCACCGCACACCCGACTAGTTGCAGTTTCCCTGCTCGTGTGGCCCAAATTAAACCAATATTCAAAGTAGCACCAAGTAAGAGCCATCTGCTCTGCCTGTGTACTAAATAACACGGAAAAAAAACTGTCAGCTTTTTCAAGTGCAAAGAGCGAGGCTCTCCACCTCTGACCGATCGATCGATCGATCGATCGGTCGGTCGGTCGCGGGTGTCATCGCGAAACACTCGTTGGAACTTTTCCATTTCTTATTTATTTATTTACTTACTTGCTTACTACTGTGCACTCTTTCTCATCGCCGGCCGTTGTGTGCACAGAGAGTCGGGGTGCCGCTCATCGCCAACATCCGAGTGCAGACGAACCTGGTGGTGCACAAGACAAAGGGCAACCCCAGGGTCAAGCCCTTCAACAACCTCACCGTGCCCATCTTCTGGGTGGACCTGGTAAGTAATGAATCTATATCATCACGACCCCCAGCCGTAGCAATAGTGCGTGACTTTTAGAGCGGTGCATACATTATGGTGTCCCAAAAAGGATCAGGATCGTCATTAGAGTCCATAGGTGACCCATGATATTTTTACCCCGGGGTACAGATATCATGGGCGTCAATAGTGGTAATATTTGCACCCCCAGAAAGTCAGTTACTTCCCTGATGGCGCTTCCCTCTCTAACGCCTCCCCCTCCCCCCGCAGACGGTGCTGGGCCTCCCGGACAACATCACCGCCCTGCTGGACTTGATGCTGGTGGTCGGGCCGGTGATCCAGACCACGGCCATCGTGCTCCTGGGCTCGTCCGGCGCGCTGCTGCTGCTCGCCGCCTGCGCCGGTGTCTGCTGCTCGGCGGGCATGCTGCACGCGTCCTCGTCGCCGCGCGCCGTGCCCCTCCAGAGCGCCTACAAGTACAGCCAGGTCAAGATCATCAACGCCGTCAAGCCGCGCGCCGAGCAGCTCGTGTCGCTGTCGATCGGCCGCGACCGCGACTCGGACCTGTCCGACTTCGGCAAGGGCCGATCGTAAACGCGTGCGGCCCCCGCCCAACCAAACAGGGTCACCAAGTTACCTGCATCGTGTTCGTGTGATAGTAGGCTAGTGTACAGACGATCTCGTGCGCGCCGGGCCGAAGGCCGAGCCGAAGGCCGAGCCGAAGGCCATGGAGGTCGCCGTCGTGGCGCTCGGGTCGCTGGGCGCCGGCCTGGTGCTCTTCCTCGCCACCGGCATGCTCTGCACCGCCGCCATCCTGGCGTCCACCAAGGCGGCCCGCCCGGCCAGGGCGCTCGCGTCGCGGCCCCCGCGGCCCCGGGCCCCGCCGGAGCAGGACGCCGCCAAGGAGCCGACGGCGGCCTTGCACCTGGACTGGATGGACTCCGCCAGGGGCAGGACGCGCTGACCAGCCGCGGCGTGCTGTGCGTGTGTGTGGTGTTCAAAGTTTGGCTCCCGGACTGGCAGGACAGCCAAGGAGCTGGACGACGGTGGAACGTTTTCGTCAACGACCGAGTGTGTATACTGCGAGCAAGGAACGCTCTCGCCTTCAGTTCGTCTGCGGTCCCGGCGTCAGTATTGATGTATTTATAGCGAGTAATTTATTGACAGAAAGAGTACCGATGGGATAGAGTTATAAAAACAAGAGAGAATTATGTGTACCCTTCAGTATAAGGCATATTGCACCTCTTCAAAATCCATTTCTGAATGCCTGTGTAAAGTTTTCGACAGCAGCGCAGTGACATTGTGTGATATTTTAGCCACTATGATTACTATGCAAATCATTGTTGTTGTTAATAACTTTAGTTACTAGCAAAATAAGCGATCTGTTTAAAAAATAATTTCTACCTCATGTATACGAAA